TCACCTGGGACTTGTATCGGGAACTCCCACGGACCTTGGAAAGAAGTTCGATGTCATTTTGGTTATTAGTGGATCGGCTGACCAAATTCTGCTCATTTTCAATTCCTGTTGTGCACAACATATTTCATCGGAGCGGTTGGCGGATATGCTATATCTGGGATTATCGTCCATCTGCATGGTTTCCCGGTTCTATTAATTCAGAGCCGAGTATATACAGTTTACATCGCGAGTTCAGGAGAGTCGTGCAGCAGGAGCTAGGTACTGCGGTGGAGTTAGCATAAGCATTTCACCCCCAGAGGACGGACAGTCCGAGCGCAACTATTCAGATTCTTGAGGCTATGCTCCGTGCATGTGTTGATTGAGTTTGGAGGGTCTTAGGATCAGTTCTTGCCATTGGAGGAGTTTGCTTACAACAACAGTTATCAGTCCAGCATTCAGATGGCGCCGTATGAGGCGTATATGTAGGAGGTATAGATCTCCGGTGGGTTGGTTTGAGCCAGGTGAGGCCAGGCTATAGGGCACAGAGTTGGTTCAGGACACATTGGAGAAGGTTAAGATGATTCAGGATAGACTCCGTACAGCCCAGTCCAGACAGAAGAGCTAACGTGGAAAGGAAGGTTCGTGATGTTGTATATGGTTGTTGAGCGGGTTCTGCTTCGGGTTTCGCCTATGAAAGACGTCATGAGGTTTCGGAAGAAAGGGAAGTTGAGTCCGAGGTTTATTGGCCCTTTTGAGATTTTGAGGCGAGTTGGGGAGGTTGCTTATGAGCTTGCCTTACCTCCCAGTTTGGCCGGGGTTCATCCGGTATTTCATGTTTCGATGCTCCGGAGGTATCACGGTGACCCCTCGCACGTGTTGGATGTCAGTTCATCCCAGTTGGATAAGGATCTATCCTATGTTGAGGAGCTAGTGGCTATATTGGACAGGCAGATCAGAAAGTTGAGGTCAAAGAACACTGCTTCAGTAAAGGTTCAGTGGTGGGGTCAGCCGGCCGAGGAGACGACCTGGGAGACTGAGCAGGATATGCGCAGCAGTTACCCTCATCTTTTCACTACTTCAGGTATGCCTTTGCTCGTTCGAGGACGAACGAATGTTTTAGAGAGATGTGACGACCCGCCGGTCGTCATAAGAATTAACGCCCAGATACCCTATTAACTGCTTTCCCAGTTTTATTTCTGCCAATTTTGATTTGCCGGGACGTTCGGTTTTGGGTTTCGAAGAGTTCTGGGACACTTAGTCCCTAAATGAGAGCTTAAGTGTTGGAAAATGGTCCATAGTTAGAACAATGTGAAGACGGCCTTGGAACGGAAATCCGATGGTTCCGTTAGCTTCGTTAGGTGATTCGGGGTTGGGAAGCGTGTTCGGAACGTATTTGGAGGTTCATAGCTAATTTAGGCTTGAAATGCCGAAAGTTCGAATTTTGAAGTTTCCGGTTCGATAGTGAGATTTTGATCCGAGGATCGGAATGGAATTCCGGAAGTTACAGTATCTCTGTCATGTCATTTGAAATATGTGTGTAAAATTTCAGGTCATTCGGACGTGGTTTGGTTAGGTTTTTGATCGAAAGCGTGTTTTGAGAGAAAAATGAAGTTCTTAGGCTTAAATCAGTGATTAATTCGAGTTTCCAATGTTGTTTTAGGTATTTTAAGGATTGGTACAAGTTTGAATGGAGTATTAGGTGATTTTGGTGCTTTGGGTTGAGGTCCCGGGGGCGTTGGGGCGATTTCGGATGGTTGACGGGAAGATCAGAGAAGTGTTGCAGCAGCTGAAGCATTGCTGCTTCTGGTATTTTTGCATATGCGGCTTGGGAACCGCAGATGCGGCGTGGAGGACCGCAGAAGCGGGGTTGGCCAGGCTCATCAGGCTCCGCAGATGCGGTGGAATTTCCACAGAAGCGGATCCGCGTTTACGAGATCAGGACCGCATGTGCGAAATTTTGGATATTTAATGAAACCGCAGAAGCAGCTTAAGTTCCACAGAAGCGGGACCGCAGGTGCAGTCCCTTGGCCGCAGGTGCGGTCCCTTGACTGCAGGTGCGGAAACCACTAGACTGAAATATGAAATTCAAGGGTTTTGTTTCAAAAGTTAGAAAAATCAAATTGGAGCTCGGGAGAGGGCGATTTTGAGAGGGATTTGAAGAGGAATCAATGGTAACGTTTCTTTAACCCTTTCTAGTTATATTCCATCAATCTATAGTTAATTTTATATTTAAAATCGGAATTGGGGATCAAAAATTGGGAAAAATTGGAAGAAACTTCTTAGACCGAATTATTGAATTTTGAGTGGGTGTTTGACCTCCGATTTGGGAGATTTTTTATGGTTAGAATAGTGAGAGTGTGAGGGTTCTGAAAATGTAAAAAAAAAATTATCCGGTTCCGAGACGTTGGCCTGAGGGGTGTTTTGGTCATTTTACCTAAATTCGCGTCTTAGCTTAAATTTAATAGTAGAATCAATTGCTGAGATGTTATATTACGATATGTAATTGAATGAATAGATTTGGGCCATTTGGAGTCGGATACTCGTGCAAAGGTGTGGTTTCGAGTTGAATTTGGAGCCCGGTTTGAGGTAAGTGGCTTGTCTAACCTTGTGTGGGGGACCTTTCCCCTTAGGATATGATATTTGGTAATTGAATGCCTTGTACGTGAGGTGACGAGCGCGTACTTGAGCTAATTGTTGAAAAATCCGGTTTTACTTTAAATATTTAGACTGAGTTTCTTTCTTATCCGCTTTATTTTATTTGCAATTATAGACTGTGTTAGCCAGAAAAGCATGTTTAGTTGTTCTAAATTGTCTATTTGTTCAAGTTGCCTTATTTGCACTACGTGAAGCATGTTAGGCTAGAACTACCTGTTGCCTTGTATTTTGTGAGCTTCATTTCTGAATATTCTTCGTGTTGTGACTGCGTATTTACATTGGGACTACAGATGTGGAATTTCGGTAGCTCCCCCCCTTGTTTGTTTACTTTGGGACTACGAGTTAGATTCCCGGTAGATCCCCCTGCACATTTACTTTGGGACTGCGGGTTAGATTCCCGATAGATCCCCCTGCACCTTGATAGTTGGACAACGGGACGGTATCCCGGGAGATCCTTCGGATATACTCATATAATGGACTACGGGACGGTATCCCGGGAGCTCCTTGGACAGTTGATCAAATGAACTATAGGACGGTATCCTGGGAGATCCTCGTTGTTGGTATTGGTATTGAGCTATTTACTCTGTGTTGTCTTATTCTCTGAGTGTTAATTGTTGCCTTGTATAAACTGTCTTACTTCATAGCTGTACTCATTACTTCCGTTTATTTCATGCTGTTGCAAGATATATTATTATGCTTATTCTCAGTAGGGCCCTGACCTTCCTCGCCACTACCCAACCAAGGTTAGGCTTGGCACTTACTGAGTACCGCTGTGGTGTACTCATGCCCCTTCTGCGCATGTTTTTCATGTGCAGATCCAGGTACTTCATCCCAGGCGTATCACTCTCGAGGCGGAGAGACCTAGCAGAGACTTCGAGGTACATCTGCCGCGTCCGCAGACCAGGAGTCTCTATCTTATTCTAGCTTTAGCAGTTAGCTTTTCCTCTCATACTGTTGTTTTAGACATTCTGGTGTTAGAGCAGTGTATTACCTTTCGTTAGCTTGTGTTCCCGTGAGTTTCCGGGTTTTGGGATGATATTGTAGACTTCCGCATTATTTGGTTGTATATGCCGAGCGGCCTTTATATGCAGTTACCCTTCTAGTTTGTTTAGTTTAATTAATTATTTCCGCAAGTTATGTTATTTCCGCATTGTTAGGCTTACCTAGTCGTAGGGACTAGGTGCCACATGTTCTCGGAGGGCGAACTGGGGTCGTGACAATGGTAGGTTAATCTCAATTGTTTTACTATTTTACTATTAGTGTACCTATTTACAGTAACGTACAGAGAATCTGTTCTTTTTTTAATTACAATGATTGTGGTGCTTTTGTTGCTGGCTTTCCTGAGAATTTCATCCTTGGTAAGGAAATTCGAGAAGATAATTTTGACATTGAGACACTTCGCACCAGGTGTGGATCTCTGTTGTGGGATTATGGAAGGAAAAAATAGCAGTCCGATGCAATTAGTGGTGATGAAATCACAGGGAGACTTTTCAGGAAGAGGAAGAGGGGATGACCGAGAAAGTAGTTCTGTTTTTTCCATTTTAATGTAATTTTGCTATGTATCAGGAGTTGTTGCCTAGTTTTGTCTAAGTACTATTCTGCTACTTGTGAGATAACCTTAAAGGATATTATTGATGTTTTTATTTTTGTGTAATTTGTGTTCATTACACATTGTGGCTGTGAATGAATTACATTTTAATGAATATGTCAGTTGCTTTTGTCCTTTAACAAAGTATGTATTTTCATTATGGTTGTAGTTTTGTTAATGTTGCAGGGTTTATACATATGTATACATACATAGTTATACAATTTTATACAAACTTATACTCTCATTTATACATCTGTATACATATAATACCATTGATTGTTTGCGGTTCTGTTTTGCATTTGTACAATCTATCAATATATTTAGCACCATTAAAAACAACAACACACTATTATTGGATAATCAAAACATGTATAATGAAACATATTTAACATAATTGCAATATATAGTGTAAATTGTAATTCTTTATTGACATTTGTAACTCAATTGCTTGTGAAACTTAACTACTCAACATTTGTAACTCTGTTGTTTGTGAAACTTAACTACTCAACATGACAAAATATGTAATAGGAAGTGTTATGTTTCCAATTATTTATTTTGGTCGATTCCTATATGTTTTTCTATTGTGACCACTTTGTCCACACACAGAACATGAAAACGCTCTCTTAGACTCCTTCTCTAAAGCAGGTTTGAGTCTTTCCTTTCTTGGCCTTCCTGCATTCGTTCTCCCTTTAGGTGGTAGGACCACATCTTCCAGTACCTCTGTTGGGATTACTCATAAACTCTCATCTGGTATCGGATTCACTGATAATTCATAAGTTCAAAGGAGGTTATCCTTCTTGTAGTAAAAAGAGTAATACTGGCCAGGCTTTAGCTGCTGGTTCTTCAAAACCGCCCAAGCATGCGGACATGGAAGTTCATCCATTTGAAATTTTCCGCAACTGCATGTTCCCTCTTCAAGGCACACTATGTTTCGCCTAACCCCTTCAAGCACAGTATATAGCTGCTCCGTAGTAGGCCTCACCTGCAAAAGTTTTTAAAAAAAAACGTTAAAGCACATTATACATTATTATACAGAGTTATACATCCTTATACAAGCAGTAAAATGCAAGTCACTAGTGCAAAGCATCATTATATTTGATTCGTTTTACTGTCATTTGCTCCGATGCAATCAGATTTCCCGAAGGAGTTTTTCGTACTTTTCGCCAAGCTCTGTAGATGTCTCCATTGCACTTTTTCTGTTTTTGTTGTTCCACTGTTGTAGAAAATTTGTCATGTACTCCAGCAATCGCATTACTGGTAACTCTCTAGCATCTTTGTTTGCTGCATTAATTGACTCTGCAATATTGGAAGCCATTACCATCGACCTTTTCACGTTGGAGTATGCCCTAGACCACCTTTTGTAGCCAATTTCGAACAAGTAAGGTTGCACCCTCGGATCAATTTTGCACATCTCTGTCATATGGTAGTCAAACTTCTCTATCGTGTAAGCTCTAGCCAAAGCAAAGAAGATATCCTTCAATTGTTTGTGATATTTCCGGAATATGCGCTTGACATTCTGCCACAAGCATGCAAATACAATGTGGTACTTCTGGGTACACAGCTTTTGTGGCATTGAAGATGCTTTCGTTTCTATCTGAAACTATACACATCCCTTCCGTAACACCAAAAGTACCCTTTATCTGGACGAAGAACCACTCCCAAGATTTGTTATTCTCTGAATCTACAATTGCATATGCAAGTGGAAGGATTTTTCCTGTTTATACAAAAAAGATATTAGGATTCAGACAATTATAAAAATCTTATACACAGTTATATACGATTATACAACTTTATACATACTGAAAATTTTATAAAAACAGTAGCTGTGAAATCCTATACACTTTTATACATGAAACTACAACATTATACAAACTGCAGAAACAAGGTAGATGCTGTCAACTCACCAGCTTCATCCTGTGTGCAAGCAGTCAATATGGTACCCTTATATGCTGCTTTAAGGAAAATTCCGTCAACAACCATTATCGGTCTACAATGCTCCAACCCTTGGTAGATGCATATAGCGAAACATATGCATAAAGAAAGCATCCATCTTCTGATTTGTGCAACTTTGTAACCGTTCCTGGATTTGTATGCTCCAACGTATACAAATACCTCGACAACTCCTTATATGAATCGCTTGGATTCCCTCTTATCATTGCCATTTCTATCTCTTTAGCTCTCCATACTTTCGTGTAGCTCACTTCAATCCCGTGTTGCTTTTGTATGTCCTTTATTATATCATTTGCGGTGTAAATTTTTTTTGGATTAACATACTTGTCTTTGACTATACTAGCAATTACACCCAAAGTAGATTGATGTTGTGTTAAGTATCTTTCACCATAGCCGCATGTGATTATTATTGTGACTTCTCACCTTCAATATGTTTGCCTTGTAAACGGCAGAAGATTTGAAACTCCAAGCATAATTGTCATCCACACACATAAGGTGATACCTAGGATTAAAGATCATTCAACTTCTAAATACACTTGTATACAAAAACATAATTAGATATATACTTTTAATACCTATATACAAATATATACTACTTTATACATATTTATACATATATATAACAGAATATACAACCATTGCCATACCTTGTTGCGCTTGATCTCTTCACCTTGAATTGGTACCTCTCGCGTACAACCAAGTTCTTCATCACACTGACAACTGTCTCTTTATCCTTGTAAACTTGATCCTCCTCAACAAATTCATTCAACATATCATCTATTATACCTGTGTTTTCACTAAATTTCGTGTTTTCAACAAATTCGATATCAGGCATAATCTCAGTGTTATCAATTGTGGATACATCTATACAATTGGAACTTGTAGCAACCAAACAACTGGAACTTGTACCAACCAAACAACTGGTACTTGTACCAACCAAACGATTATCATAAATCTCTTTCACCGTCATATACAACGGGTATTCAGTGAAATTCAAGTTTTTCTTCTTTAATTCGATATACGCCTTAACACCCGTATCATTGTAAATCAGGATCGGTGGCAAACCATCCTTTGGGAGAAAGTTAATCTCCAATGTGTTTAACTCACAATCGATTCTAATCTGTTCCGAAATAGGTGCATCTAAATTGTTGTAGTTGAATGTCGACTCGATTATTGTCGCGCCCCCTTTTTCCTCCGCGAAAATCGGGTTTGTGACATTTGGGAAGACAACTCGTTCCCTTTTTTGGGAATTGGGTTTAAAGGAATTGAAGAGTCGCCACCTAATGATTTAAGTGCATTAGGACACTAAGAAGGGTTTTACCTAAGTCGAGTCACCTAGGAAATCAGTAAAAGATGGAAAGAAATCAATCAAGCTATATTCAGAAAGAAGTTTACACTAGTTGCAAATTTGAAAACCATTTAGAGGAAAATTCATCATATATAAGGAGCATGTGAGCGTGAAAGAGGACTGTAGTGTAAATTAGTAGAAAAAATCCAGTGTAGAAGAGTTTAGCAAAAGCTCAGCATTGTATGAAAACAAATGTCCAAACTCAGTTTAGACACACAAAGTCAGTCTGAAAGAATTAGGGGATTCGAAATAAAATTCTAGTTCAAAAAAAACAAACCATAAAGCAAAGATGAGAGGGCAGGCGATTGAATCATGTTCAAAAGTTTCAGAAAAGGACGGGATTCTTCAACAACAGAACTTATGAAGAATATGATAGCAAAGTAACATGCAATCACAGCAGAAAGATTCAAAGAACATAATGACAAATACTGATACGAACAATAGAAAAAGCATGCTTAGAAGAAACTTAAACATGGCTCAGTAGAAGGCAAACAGAGAAACTTAAAAACTTAGCAGGAAGATAGAAGAACACAAGAACACCGGAAAAGTATAACAAAAAAGTATATAGGAAAACACAGTAAGATAAACATATAAGAACATGGTAAAAATACAGTAGAGAAGTCTACGAGACCATAGTATAGGAAATTACAGTAAGAGAAGCATACAAGAGATGATACAAGAACACAGCGGAGGCAAACACACGAATAACAAAGAAGAAAAAAACACTTAAACACTTTCTAGAAAACCCTAAATCGGAAAAGAAAGGTTTTGAAAGTGATTTTCGAAAGAAAAGTTAGGAAAATCGTTTGAAAACTCAAGTAGAGCATAGATACACAACAGATCTAAAAAGAATCGGAGAAAAATCTCGAAGGGTCAGGGTTTCAGAAGAACCCTAGAATGAGAATGGCTTTGAAAAGGTCATTGACCTGAGTCGGAGAGGTCAGAACCAGGCTCAAAATACCATGGTACGCCGGAGCAAGGCCGGCGATGACTCTGGAACCTTGAATCGGCAAAAGTCTGAGCGCAAACCTTTGAGGTCTGGCCTCAATTCTTCAGGTATCCGGTGTGTAAGAGCAAGGGGAGGTGAGCATAAGACTCCCACGGCCTGAGAAGCCATGGATTCCGGTGGGTTTCACGGTGGAAGACGATGAGAGGCGGCTAGGGTTAGGGAAGGTTCGAGAGTGTTTGAGAGAGGGGAGGGTTTCAGGGGTGGCAAATAATTGAAAATGAAATAGGGTTGGGGGGTTTGGTAAATTAAAAAATGAAAGATGGAGTGTGAGCCGTTGATCTAACAGATTAACGGCTGGATTAAAAAAAATAGGTCTGGGCGGGTTTTTTAATTGGGTCAGGGGCGGGTAGTTTAGGGATTGGGTCGGGTAATTTTGGGGTTCATATTGGGTTAATTGGGGGGTTTGATTTGGGCTATAGTTGAAATGAAATAGGGATAGTATTTAAATAACCACTTTTCCCCTTTTTATTTTATAAAAAATAGTAAATGCTTTTTGAAAACAATTTAAAGGTGCTAAATTAATTAATAATATATATAAATATTAAATTAAAAATACTGGAATCAAATTGGTAATTATAAACGCAATTAATTCTTAAAATAGGCTAATCTTGCAATTATATGCAATTTAACTTTTAAAAATACTAAATAAATTTATAAAAATGTGTAAAAATTACCTTAGCTATATTTTGGGATAAATATGAGAATAAAATAAATTAATCACCAAAATGATAATTTGAGGAATAATTATTGGTTTTTGTATTGCTAAAATAGTGCAATAAATTAATTTAAAAATCTTTTTAAAAAATTAGAAAAAATACTAAAATATTTGGACACACTTATATATGCAGACATATGTTATTTTGAAAGTATTTTGCATAAAAAAATATACAGGGAAAAATTGGGTATCAACAGCTGCCCCTCTTTACCCGGGAAGGATGAAAGAGTTGTCGGGTAAAGACATGATGACCAATTTTGACCGAACGAAATATTGTGAAGAAAATCTGGCCGTGCCCCAGCTTTTGAGCTGCCTACATATCCCTGGTTTTTACAGGAATCAGGCAGTATGTAGTTCAGGATCCGTAGGCGGAGTATCCCGATGGAGACCTTTCAAGAAAGGATGCAATATTCAAGTCGGGATGAATGGTCAAGGTTTAGTAGGGCAGCGGGAACTGGAGCAGGATCGCTCCTGCTGAGACGGCCGTTGCTCGCCGGTTTACCTGCAAATAAACTATACAAGCAATATTGCGCATAAATTTAAACGTGATGCAAGTTCCCGTTGGACCATGAATGTTGTCTTTGGACGGTTAGGATGACGTCTTTAGACCATGATGTCCTGGGCCATGAAGCGTGTAATAAAGGATTCGCAGGCTATGAAATGATGCTCTCGGGCTATGATAATGATGCCTCCGAACTATGATGCCTTTGAATAATGATATGCAAGAGATTAAAAGGGGTCCTCATGCCATGGCATGACGTTCTCGGGCTATGAAAATGGTGCCTCCGAACAATGACGCCTTTGGACAGTTTGGCGATCTTTCAGCCCATGAGATGCAGTAGGTGGCGATCTTTCAGCCGATGCAAGATGTAAGGGCGGCGATCTTTCAGCCATGCAGAAGTAAATAAGGTGGCGATCTTTCAGCCATGCAAAATGTAAAGGTGGCGATCTTTCAGCCATGCAAAATGTAAATAAGGTGGCGATCTTTCAGCCATGCAGAAATGCAAAGGTGTCGATCTTTCAGCCATGCATAATGCAAAGGTGGCGATCTTTCAGACATGCAGAATGCAAAAGTGGCGATCTTTCAACCATGCAAAAATGTAAAGGTGGCGATCTTTCAGCCATGCAAAATGTAAATAAAAGTGATGATATTTCAGCCATGCAGATGGAGGTAGAGCTTAACCTCGGAAGGCAGAATGGTAGCCTTATGCAACGCAGGAAATGCAGATGGAGGTAGAGCTTAACCTCGGAAGGCAGAATGGTAGCCTTATGCAATGCAGGAAATGCAGATGGAGGTCTTAACCTCGGAAGGTAGAATGGTAGCCTTATGCAATGCAGAAATGCAGATGGAGACAATGCTTAGTCTCGGAAGGCAGAATGGTAGCCTTATGCAATGCAGGAAATGCAGATGGAGATAGTGCTTAGTCTCGGAAGGCAGAATGGTAGCCTTAGGCAAGAGATAAAAGGTGAATAGTAATTAAATTTTCTTAGCTGATTGCCGATAGCTGATTGTGATATTGTGGCTGCTGGGGACATTGTGTGCGGATAGCAACTGTGAATAGGTGAGACGGTTCTGAGAGTTGTATCCTTGAACAGTATGAGCGTATAATATATGATTTTGCGACTTGGGTGCCTGCATCCAAAGAAAAATCATGAGTTTTGTAAAGGGGAAAGGTTAGTTCGTATCCCCGATGACTTTGCTGGCCTGCTTGGCGCTGATCTGATGACATGGTATGTATCATAGGGGTAGCGTTGCTGAACAAAGCGACTTCGATAATAAACATGCATGAGTTTGTTAAAGATATGACATAAGTATATATTTAAGAAATAGTTTTTAGATGAACCGACGACTGTGACGTGGTTCAGGACATTGCAACCTCTCTTGCTTCGGGATTTTGAGGGTCCTCCTCAAAATTGTGCCCCAGTTTAATGGGTTGCTGCTTCTGACGGTTGCTTGC